CAGTATTGATTAAAATCTGTTCTAGAGTTCTCACTGATGACAGAAATCTGCAAATTATACCCCAATTTTTGGTTGCAGTTTTGGATAGGTTTCTTAGATTGAACCCAGTTTTATATAAACTCCCTCCATGCATTTTAATAGCAAATAAGGACACTTGCTGGGATTGGAATAAATGTAAATATGTTTTTCTGTGCCGCATTTGGCCAGGTCTCACGAGTGCGTGAGTCAGTATTTACCTTTAAATCAAGAACTAGAAGTTTCTTATAACAATGATTCTACGATGAAACTGAGGGGTCTGACGTTGTCATTATTTTCAAAAGAACAAACAATAAAAGCAAAGAGGAACGAAAAATGCTTTTTGCACGAACAAGATAAGACATGTTTCATTGCAGAATGACTACTCGAGGGATCATCATAGAAATTACATTACTCTTAGCTTTCTTCTCTTCTGTACATCTCTCTTAAATTAAAAGAGAAATTTAACCTAAAATTAAAACATGGGAGTGGGAAAATCGTGTCAAGAGATCTTTTACGTGATTATTATTTTTTTTTTCCACAGCACGAAATTTAAATAAGAAAATAATTATTGCCCTCTTTAGCAACGTAATTTGCATCAAAAAAGAGGTATCGGTAATGTATTACTGACTAGTAACAGAAAGAGATATTGACACATAGAGATGTTTTCATTTCATCACCAACAGCGACACACGAAAAACTTGTCTGAATTTATCTCGGCGCTTAAGGAGACATAAATTTTATGCACTGGTCAATGCCATATTCCCTAGTTTTTAGGAACAGAAGTGAGACAGAAAGTTGAGAAATACTGAAACGTTATCTGATGTTTGATTGATTAGCAGCAATTTGTAAATTACTTTCCTAATAAATAATGTCTCTTCTCTTTTTTTACATTTTATTTAAAAATTTTTGTGCTCGATAAGCTGCGCAGCTTGTTAAATAGATGTCTGCAGGTAAATTATAAAGCAATCTGTAATTAAAAGTTAAGCTTTCCTCTGAAAAATCACTAACGAACGTGGAAGAGTTTATTTTGATATTTCCATCCATTAATTGCCTTGTTTGAAAGCCCTAAGCACTCTGAAAAACTCTCAGATCTATAAAATCACCTTTCCAAATGAGATAGCGAAAAGGTGTAAGGCTTCATCGCCTGAAGATGGGTTTTAATGATCTATGTGAATGACTGGTAATTAAATACAAAAATTTAAATATGAAATAAAAGGAGTTGCTCTTAAGTGCTCTCGTCAAGACTTGGTGAGGCACTGCATGAGACGTTATCTTTTCTTGCAAACAACGATTCCCTCACTTCAGTACTTCACTTGTTTTTTCGTGGGAGATTTAGGTTAAAGGTATAAACGTGGAGAAACACTCTATATAGGCGTTTTAGTTTAGAAGATATCGGACGAAAATGCCTTTTCCTAAAAACAGCAAAGAGCAGGATTATGCAGTCAACAGCAGTACAAATGTTGCGCCACCTTGGCAAGATGCCAACCCAGCGACAAAACCTGTTAAAATTGCTACACTGATCCTCATATTAATTGTAAGTCTGGCTAGCAACCTTTTGCTGATCTTGGTCGTGCGTAGAAACGTGAACAAACGGATGCGAACACCGAATAATTATTTTATTCTGAACATGGCTTTTTCAGATATTTTGCTAGTTTTGTATGTAGTTCCTCAGTACATAACCATGACAGCGTGTGACATGCAATGGCTTATCGATGGAATGGCAGGAAACATTTTGTGCTGATTTTCGTTCTTTATCGGTCAAATGCCAATGTTGGTCTCTACTGGAAGTCTTTTTTTCATTACACTGGATCGGTTTTTCCTTGTTTTTTTCCCATTGAGGAAGATAATCACACTGCACACTGCTCGTCGTATAATGGCTGCCGTGTGGACCTTTGCCCTCCTGCTTGCAGCCCCTTTGCTCGCCATGTCAAGATTGACTGAGATTCGATCCGGAATTTTTTTTTGCACCTTCGATTTTTCTCTTGTCATAATAGTCATCAACTATTTTTTGTTTTGTTATTTTTTCATAATAGCGATACCAATTCTTACAATCATCATTATGTATATCGCCATTGGATTCAAAATCAAACAAGGGATATCCCCCGGAAACCAGCTACCCTCGCATCAGGAAAGACGCGAACGAGTAACTCACAAGGTTCTGGCTATGCTCGTCGCTATAGTAGTTGCCTTGATCGTTTTTCGTTTTCCATTAATACTTTTACTGATAGCTTGTTTTACAGGCTCAATCAATATCTGCAGCAGTTTTAATCTCCTTTTCGCAGCATGGCTTTTGACGTTCGCCAACACTGGCGTTAATCCGCTGATTTATTTTATCTTTAACGAGCAATTTCGCATTGGGGCAATTCTCATTCTACAAGAGGTCGGTCGGTGTTGCTTCAAGGGGACAAATGAGGTGCACGCAGTTCAACCTGGTGCTCACCAAACGACCGGCTCTCTTAAGCATGAAACTGTCCAGTTTGACCAGCGAAAACAACTGGGAGAAAAACACCATTGATGATTATCACATTTCCTTGATTAAGGCGACGAATGACACTTAAAAACTTCAATAAGACTTTTAAATGCCCTGTAATTCATGAATCTGTTTATTTTCGTAGCTATTCTACACTGCTTTTGATGGAGCAACCTCGCTGTTAACACCATATCTAACTCAGAATAACGACATATCATGACTGCAATCAATAGCTATCGTACATTTCTGGTGATAAATTAGAACTTCCTAAGAGAATATACAAAAACTCCTCTATCCATTCCAAGATTAACTATTTAAATATGTTACTTGTTTGCTATATTCACCACTCAACCCAACCCCTCTCCCTGTTTTGGCCGTCGCTCGCCCCCTTGGGAAATTTTATTTCTCTCCCCAGCCCTCCGCTGCCGTTAAAATAAGAGATGGTGGCCATCATTTTCACTAAGAAAATACTGAGCAATCGTTCTCCAAAATTACGCCGGCGTAACAGGCTACCAGTATCAAAGTTTGGGGTTACTCGATTTACACTTTTCTTTCCTGTATTCTTCACGGTATGGTGCTTAGTGTTAGTATCACTAGATAGATCATGCACCGTCCACATAGTAACTGTTTCTTTAATTTTTAACGCAAATGAAGATTTTGCATCAACATTCAATTTAGAGCTTAGGTTTGAAATTTCTCCTTAAAAATAAGCGAGACAGTTGCTTGTTTTAAGTTTGGCAAAAACCCTGAACTTAATTGGTGCACTATAAAGGAAACAGAGCTGCGTAATACTAGTCTCTCCTGAAAACATTGAAAACCAAAGAGCCTACTAACAACAGCTAACTATCTTGCCACATTAAAGGTGACTCAAGATCATTCAACCTCATCACGTTTAGAGACCAACAGTAAGACAATCTTCATGTTCTCGATACGAGTTCCGATCCCCGTTCGGCGAGCACTCATCCCCTAACTTTAGACGTTATTTTCCGATTTGGGACGCCAGTATTCGACTTTAGACACTAGTTTCCCAATTATAGACACTGTCCTATTTTTGACTCCAGTGTTACATTCGTAGATACTATGATCCGCTTTCATACAATAGTGTTCGATTTTGGAGAAAAGTGTGATTTTTGGACACTTACGTCCGATTTTGGACACTAGTGACCGACTTTTTGACAGTATTGTCGAATTTTAGATACTAGTATCTTAGCATGGACACCACTGTCTGGTTTTAGACCCTAGTTTCGGATTTTAGACTCTAGTATCCCATTTGAGACACCAGTCAACCAGTCAGTCAATCAGTCTGCAAGTTCAGCCAGTCAGCCAGTTATTCAGTCACTCTGTCAGGCTGCCTGTCTGTCAGTCAACAGTCAAATAGTAAGCCAATAAGTCGCTGATAGATGTAGAAATCAAACCAAAATCTTGACATTAAAATCCACCAGTGATCTGATTTTTATTAAACTCTGATGGTGAGCTACCGGTCAGTATTAAGTTTATGTGTGACAAGGTACCTCCATAATGATAAAACCGAGGATTATCCATTTCGAATCAGCCGTGTGCAGAATAGAAAATAAGAAACGTTATAATTGAGCTCGATCATTAAAAATCAACGGATGCTTTTATTTCGTCACGAGCGTTGGACAAAGAAAAAAACTCGGCTCGAGACGAAAGAGTCTGTAAATCACTCAGTCTTTCGAATTGGCGGACAGGCATCACTGAAATGTTCTTAATTGAAATTATTCGAGCCAATATAATTATTATCATCTTTTTTAAAGTTATTTAAGCTCCTAAGTGAAATTTCCTCGTAAACAGATGCCCACTGATGGCCCTTGGGCTATATTTTATTCATGTCTCACTCCGTAACTTTGCATGTCCTGAGCCTCGTAACAAATAAATTGGACGCTTTCTTTGGCCCTTAATAAGGTAAATAAGAAACTTCCCTTTGTTCTTGCAGGTAATGAAACAAGAAAAAGTATTATGAATAATTAATTTGCATAGATAATGTTTTGAGAGCGATCAGATTTACATGAACATTTTCATTGCAAGGGATTCTCCTATTCTCACAACTTCAACTACAACGTATTGATCTACATTACGCCATCTTACTTCGGGGAGGATAAGAAAATTTCACCTACTCGTTATGGTTAGTTCATAGTCCAACTATTCCATATATCTAACTATTGCGCATATGTACATATGAGCGACAAAGCAGTCGTTTTTTCAACTTCTTGAATTGAAAAAGCATTAGATTATAACTGTTAAGAGTTGTTTAGGAGCAAAGAGCACGCAAACCTACTTCTTTCAAGATCATTACTGGATGAAGTTTTTTGCATTTTTGTCGGATAACTCAGATTATCATGTTGAGTTTGAAAACCTGATTGTTACATTTTCTTAAAATCCTTAAATCAATTTTTTTCAAAGAAAGTAAGAGGAGGAATTAAATCTCGCTATCTTTTTATCCATAAAAGTGCCATAAAATTGTTTTATTATTGATGCACTCTTCTTTGAAATATTGATTCCAGATCAAACAGATGCATACAGGCTATTGGCCTTCAAAACTGAAGAATAAGCATCTTTAATTGAAATAAAGTTGATAAATAACAGTTGTATCATCAGTAAGGAAGTTCAAAAAGTTCATAAGAGGAAGATGTCTTTAACTGGTTCAAACTCGTGCTCTGATGTGGCTGCCCCGTCATATTTGAGCATTATCGCTGCCACCGCGGACTCCATCCTTGCCGTTGCAGCCATCGTTGGTAACTTGTTGGTTCTACTTGCTGTCATTCTTGATCCAAATCGTAATCTGCGATGTCGGTTTAACTATTTCGTGGCTAATCTAGCTGCTGCTGATTTGATGATGGGATGCTTGGGACTCCCCATGTCTGTAGAATTCCACATTCGAGAGTCGCTGACTGATGAAGTCTTCCAACTTGATCACCCTCGAGATCATGTTAGGATGATTATCATTTTAATCTCGTGTACAGCCTCTATATTGAGCTTTACTGCCTTGACTATAGACAGATTTATTGCCATCAAAGATCCGCTCGGGTACAGGACCAGGATGACTACTAAACAGGCCCTTGTTGTGTCATTTCTTATATGGTTTATTTCCAGTGGACTTCCGTTTCTGTATATTTACAAGGGCTATATGAATAGTCGGTTTTTCATCGCTAACTTAGCTGTTGTAGCTACTTTCGCCGTGCTGTACCTCAATTATTTCAAAGTCTTAAGACATTTTAACGCTCAAGCTGCTAATCGGAATGCCTTGTACGATGGCCAAGGCCAAGACAACTGGGCAAAAAGGAGAGCTCTCAAATGGCAGACGAAAATTACCAAAACTTTTGTGATCATGTTATTGCTGTTTATTTGCTGCTTTTCCCCAGCAATGATTTTCATTTATATAGTCAGCTTTTGTGCAAGGTGTTCTTGTATTTTCATTCACTGGGTAAGGGATTTAAACGGCATTTTATTTCGTGCAAACTCAAGTATGAACCCTTTCGTCTTTGCCTGGAGACTGAAACGTTACCGTGCCGCTTTCGTTAAAATTCTAAGATGTGGAAAAACTCTGCAAAAACATGGATTCACTTTATCAGACTTGGGTACTTCTATGAATAACTTAGGATTTGCAGTATCTGGGACCTACAAATATCACGGCAATGAGGAGACTTAGAGAAGGTTTTTTTGGAGCTGCAATGTTTACTACGAGATGCAAAAAACATAGGATAGCATACGGGATTTCTCGTCGTTTATGGAACTATGCTCCAAACATCGCAAGTGCAATGTTCTGGAATTTCAGAGAGCTGAAACATCTTTGAACCGGTCAAACTGGCCATCGCACTGGAAGTGACTCGTATATGGATGCATACTGGTTTATTGTGTAAATGCAATTACTTAGTTGTGAGGAACCCTCACAGGCTATTTCTCAGGTATTACCCAGGAGATAGATTAAAATAGAATAAAACAGAATGAATAAATTTAATATAACCCAAGGTAGCGCCTCTGAAAGAGCTAAGTGCTATTTGTATAAGTTACCTGTTTGTAAATTCAGTGCGGAGGATGAAAAGTACTGGTTGTTTACACCTTTAAAGACTGAGGTGTCGAACGTGCTAAATTGAAATTTAATAAATATTTCCTTAATCGGGAATTCCACATAGAGTTAACCTAAGAACGAGAATATCAAAGAAGTTAAAAATATGGGAAGGGTTATTTCAAGGAAATGCTTGTACGGAATCAATTGCTTTGAGGTAAGGTCGTTTTATTCGTCGTTAAGGATATCGAACAAAAGAACAGTTTTTTTGATTTGATCAATTATCAATTACTTTGTGTGCCTAGTTACGATCTTAGTTACAATATTAATCTTTTTCCTATTGGTTTGTGATCGGATCTTTTAGCGTCACCACGCGCATATAAAAGCTAAGTTAGCGTCCCTTTAAGCCAGAGTTTCGCAAGATTTCGCCTTGAATAGTAGTACCTTCGTTCTTTCGTTCTAAACCTTTGGCATAAGCGGGACCGATATGTAAGTAATTTTGTTAGTTTTATTTCAATGTGTTTAAGTTTAGTTTTTCACCATGGGCGATAGCGCACATTTGTACTGTTTTGTACAATAGTGCAACTAATTATCTTGAAATCAAAAGAGTAATTTGAAAGAACTAGACGCTCAGACAGCAACGCCCACATTTTAGTCTTTGGGCTGTTAACCAGCCGCAAGTGTTCATCGTGTTGCCGATCTTTGAATCTCGAGTAGTTTTAATTTAGCCTTTATGATTTGTTTCTGTTAATTTACGTTAATTGTTTTTATTTTAATCGCGTTATCGACATAGGCACGTCTTTGTCTTCGTGATCTGAATAAACACCGTTAACCGTCATCTTGGTTTTCGTGGTTTTACCACGACCTGTAAAATAGTCCCGAAATCAGCGACACTCAGCAAACACGCCTTAGCAACACCCCTCGAAGTTTCGTCTTTCGTCGCAAGCGTCACATTCGTAATTGTAACAGCTCTCCGCAACATAATGGAAATAATTAAATATTTAACCGCAAATTGTAGTTTACGAAGAAATATTTGTCTCCATGTCAAATTCACGACTTCAATAAGAAAAGGAGATCGAAATTTTACCTGTAAAATAAGACTGCTAAAAGAAAGAGAAGATGATCAACTTGTTTATAATAACTTTTTACTGAACGGCTTATGGTAATATATTATTTCCATTCATTTTCCAACACCAATATATGGAAACCCTTACAATATTTTTAGATTAGATTTATATCTATTTTTATCGTTTCACAAATTTCAGTCATTAAATGTAATACAACGGTAAAAATTATGTTAGTTGAGTTATAAAATTTCTACTCACAGTTTAAAAGTTTGGTACAAAGAATATAAAAGTAGAAATCTCGATATGACTATATTTTTTTTTTAATGAATCTAACGTTTATTCAATCCAAACGAGCGATTCCTTAGATATAAATGGATGCGTGTGTCACAATCCCAAACTACCTTCATCCATCCCGCCACAGCTTTTGCTCGGCTTCTAAGGTAAATTATGCCCTGCGGTTATGCTTCGTCAGCTACCCTTTTACTTCGATGTGCAACACGAAAGGTGAAAAGCTCGTTTGTTTGCTTGTTGCAGATAAAAACTTACATATTAAACATGATGATTACTCAATGATGTAACAAAAAGCTTCGCTTTGCTTGCCAAAAGAATTCAGGCTCTGCGTGTAAGGAATTTTGTTCACCTCTAACACACACCCTTTTTCAACGATACATGTCTTTTGCATCCAATTGTTTCAAAGAGATCACAACGTTGGTCACTTTGATGAGAATGAAATCTTTCGAAAACGCCGTCAAAAAGACTTGAACTATTAAAGGGAAAATTTATGCCTTCCCTGTTTCATGAAAAGGGGAGACTGGAAGAGATTCTTCAAAAGAGCTTGAACGGCAAATATATCTCAACATGGTTGACACAAGCAAACTATATGTTGAAGTTTGCAACTGCATCTCTAAGTGCACCTTCTCCTTAACGAAGTATTACCTATCCTTTCCTATCCCACCCACCGGTTTAGAGGTTAAATAATGCATCTGAAATTAACTAACAGCTGGCAACTGACTGAGTCTACCTTACCCTATACCTTAAACGAACTTCTGGTTTTCGGGCCAATAAAACACATGAAATTGTCAGAAGTTTTGTGAAATGTATTTTGGAAGAATTAAGTAAGAGTTTAATACTCTCAAGAAAGGGGAAAATTGTGTGAGGTATGGAGAGAAATCGACGCGGCTTCAAGCTGTGGCACACACTTTATTTTGCGCGCCTCAGCGCGGCCAAGTTATTAAAGTTCGATTGTTTTTGTTTTTGAATTGACAAGACAAGAGTTTTTTGTTGTTGTTGTTTTCTTTACCTCGCAAGAATCACCTATAGAACCTCTAAGTCGCTTCATTGCCATGTTCTTAATACTGTAAATCATCGGTTAGTCGTGGAAAAATCCAATTATAATGTGCCAAGTCAATTTTTGTTTTGCAAAGTTTTTCCACATCTTAGAATCCTGGCGATAGCAGTTCGATAACGTTTCAGTCTCCAAGCAAAGACATAAGGGTTCAGGCTTGAGTTTCCTTTAATCAAAATGCCGTTTAAATCCCTTGCCCAATGTATAAAAATACATGAACAACTTGCACAAAAGCTGATCACGTAAATGAATATCAGTGCTGGAAAAAAACAGCAAGTAAATAGCACCATCGTGATCACTAAAGTTTGGGTAATCTTCTTCTGCCGTTTAACCGCTCTCATTTTCGCTAAGTTGTCGCGGTTTTGGCCATCGTGCAAAACATCCCAAGTATCAGCTTGAACTTTAAAATGTTTCAATACTTTGAAATAATTCAGGCACAACACAGCAAAAGTAGCTATAACAGCTAGATTAGCGACGAAAAATCGACAGTTTAAATAGCCCACGTAAAAATAAAGAAATGAAAGCCAACTTGATATGAACCAAATGAGAAAAGAAACGATGACAGCTTGTTTAGTATTCATCCCAGTCCTGTACCCCAGGGGATCGTTTATAGCAATGAATCTATCTATTGTCAAAGCTGCTAAGCTCAGTAATGAAGCTGTACACGAAATTAATATGATGATCCTCCTTGCATGATCCCGGGGAAGATTGCTATCGAAGGCTTCAACTTTCAACGATCGTGACTCTCGAACATGATATTCTACCGACAGAGGGAGTCCACAACATCCTAATATGAAATCCGCAGCAGCCAAATTGGCCACGAAATAGTTAAAGCGGGATCGCAGATTACGATTTGGATCAAGTAGGAAAGCAAGAAGTACCAAGAGGTTGCCAGTGACGGCTGTAATGGTGAGGATGGAGTCCACGATAGCAGTGATAATACTCAAAAAAGTTGGGACAGGAGCATCAGAGCATGAGTATGAGCCAAGGAAAGACATCTTCCATTAACGATATTCTTCTGCAAGTCTAAAACCGAACAAACCCAGTCAATTTAGGACTTCCGTGCCTGATGATGCAGCAACTTTTGTTAGCCCTTTATTGGATTTTTGATTGTTATCCTCTTAAGTTTTACCGTCCAATAAAGTGGATGCATCATTCTGTGTTATCTAAAATTAACTGTTCAAAGATTAGTGGAGCACCATTAAATTTTGATGGTATCACTAGGAGGGAAAGAAAGAATTGAAAGTTAACTATTGTTTCAATTTCATGTACTTTATGTACTTAAAATTGCTTCTCGAGTCGGCGAAAATTACACTTTCAATGAGTTCAATTCGAACGAAACCCTTTCCTTTACCCAAAATTAAGACAATGAATTTTAAAATCATTTATCTTGAAGATATATTTGCCCGTTTTTGATTTTTGCTCGTAAAATAACAGAAAGCAGGTGTTATTGATGTTTATCGTTTCATTTGTCAAGCTTTAATGTTTTGTCCGAGCTATGTAAGAATGTGGATTAACCGCTGACTACAATGGAGTTATGTTCAGTTTTGCAATTAGGATCGACTAAATTCGGATCGACGTTTGAATCAACTGCCGCTCTTAATTATTCGAGTCGACCCAAATTGCAATTAGGTTCGGTGCATGTAAAGATCGACGTTTGAACTAGGCCTTAGTCTCCTTCGTAGCCGATCATCGAGATGTGCTTTTGAAGTGATAAGAAATTATTATTCTTCTCCTTTTTCTTTTATCTGTGAAGTTCCACAGTTTCTTTGAATTGTTGTTCGACTTCTTTATATTGACATTCTAATTACCTTGACCACGCACGTACTTTCAATAAGTTCCATCAGGAGAAATTTTCTCTAGGTTTCTAACGGGTGGACAGTTCTACAAATTTAGAGATTGCACGAATGGTAACTAAGATTTTGACACAACTTCCTCTTAAACGTCAAAACACAGAAACTAGCGACTTGAATTGTAATCGTCGTCTGGTTTAGAAGTACGTGTGAATAGAGGATTAACTTGAGCTGATATATGGAAGACATTCAACTCTGCAAATCGCTTCAGTTCCCTTTGTGTGGTGCTCAGTTACGACGCTAGATTGCAGTTTTGGCAGAAATTTTTCTTAGAACAAACGAAAAGCGAAAAAAATTGATAGGTAAAGAATTCAGTCCGTCAAAAACACCTTCTGAGGATCGTTATCTTGGTCAACCAATACCTCAGCTAAAAATATCCCGCAAAGCGTGGTTCGCTCAGTTTTAATCCATAAAAAACCTGAAGCATGCAAAACAAGTGAGTGACAATCCATCGATTCCTGAGTTTGTGATTAATTTTGGATGCTACGAACCTGCGATTAACTTATTTCACATAAGGCAAAAGAGCTGATCAGAATTCTGACTTTTATTGAACTTTTTAAGATGCAATATAATGCTAATTAAAAACTACGTAAAATCACAAATAAGTCAGCTGAAGTCCCCTTTATCCGGCGTCAAGCCATCAGAGAAAATCTGAAAAGAGAGAGCATAGATAAAAATTCTAAACAAATAAATAATCAAGAATTATATTTAAACTAAAAAAAATGCAACGTTAGGTAATAAAGTAAGCTTAATTTTGCACATTCTGCTCGGAGGTAAATAGTCCGAAAAGCACTATTTACATATTTTATGTGACATGATATACAGCTATAACAAATATTCTCCTCAGACTGATCTTCTCACTTTTATAACTTTGAAGTATGGATTAGTATAAAATTCTTATCATGTAAATTTTTCCCTGTTACCAAATTTTGAACTTGGCAAATATCAAATCGAAAGGATTTTATTGGATGAAACTTTTCCACAAACTGCTCAGTAATGCTGAGTAATAACCTGTGTAGATAACTAATCCTCTGTCATTTCTATTACTCTTCTCTGATGTTTCAACAAAAAAAAAATCCGAACTTGAGCGAAAAAAGCCCCCAATAAAAAATTATATCTAAAAGGGACTAAAAAAACAAACAAAAACATACGCGAGAGAGAAGGTTCGTTAGCGCGGACATTTTCCATCCGTAAAGAAAACATCGTCAATAGCAGCATCTCCTCGATAGCCTTTTCCTCTAACACCAACGAATTTTACCTAACCAGGAAACAAAAATATGTACACGTTAATACTTAAAACTCAACCTAGTCCTTACGGGCGAAGTATTCAGTGAAACAATATTTGATCCAAGAAATAATGGGATCATTCAATGTTTCAAACAAAGATAAATCGATTAGTCCACTTTACTGTAAGTATCCTACCTCTGCGTTGCGACGTTGATTTATTCTTTGATGGTACGCTTATTTGGGATGGTGCCCGCATTGATTTGTGGGTGACTTTCATTGAAAAAAAAACCATTAAATTTTAAAAAGTAGAGGACTCCTAGTAGCTTTAAGCCACTGAAACTTAGAGGAACCCTGGCAGAGGGCCTTTCAGGCTCATAACATAACTTAATGTTACAAATACTTCGTGCCTTCCAAAGTAAAACCTAGAGGTGACAGATATCTCACCCTGTAAGGGGATTTCGTGGAAGAAAGCTGGACATGAGCCAAATGCCACTGATTTCCCTGATCTTGTTGTTTTTCCCAGATCTTGTTATCTCCAGCATCAGATGAATACAGAACGTGCATCGCACCCATGTCTTCTCCGTACATGTGGTAATAAAATTGTAGACACCTTTCACCGGAAGGCAAAAAAATCTTGCTTTGGAGTACAGCCGTATCATTAAGCTTCCTTGGATTTGAAGCCTCAATGAACATGAAAAATCCTGCAGAAATGGTACAAGTATTTTCTTTTATCATTAAAATGGTTACACCTCTAGAGAGAAACAAACAGAATCGATGTGTCACTTTTTTGTTTTGTTTCATCATTTGTTTGTCTGTTTGTATGATTTCAAAATTAAATCACTGACTTTGACAATAAACGTAGATTTACACATACGTGCTACAGAACCGATAACTCACCAAAACGGAGAGTCGTATGGTCAGTTTCAGGCCCAGTCCTTCCACTCGGAGTCCTTCCCATTCTCCTTGTCCAATCAAAGTCATCGCGATCAATATTAGTAAATCCGCAAAGACTGTTATCAAATGTGCAGTCATCGGGCCCTGACCGAAAAGGGAAGAATTTTAGATCAGCTTAAAAGAGAATAAGTTGACTAAGTTCATCATTAAGATATTTCTGCTTACCATCAGGGGGTGGTAAAGGACTTGGATTAGCTGGCGGCCTGGTGGTTGTTCCTTTTCGTGAAATGAGAAAATAACGAAATGATCGTTAAAGGACTAAACTGAGAAATCCTTTTCATAAGTGATAACTTACCATTTCCTTTTTTCTTTTGTTTTTCCACTTACTTAGTAATTAACTTTTTGTGCAACTGATGCATAGGTTCAGGTTTGTATTCAGGCTTTCTGTACAAGTGATGAATTAAATTTAATGTTTGCCCTCTTTGAGAAAGTTATATTTTAGCTCTGTCTCCCTAACTCCTTATTGTTAGCCTTAAGGATTAATAGATTGACTATTCAATGTATTTTGTTCCATCATCATCTAAAGAAATGCACCGGAATTATCACTGCCACTAATGTGATGGGGGTTTCATAAAGGCTCCTTCAAACACTTGTTCACTTACTAAGTCCTATTAATCATTACACGATCATTATAAACCACAATAAGGCATACAATCACCGACCTTTGCAGTCATATAGCAAGTCAGCCTGTCGAACGTCCAGCGGACTAAGACCAATCCGCTGCCCAAGTTGTTCGACGGACGGATCCCTTGCTATGATAGTGGTCAAGCCATTGATACCAAATGCATTTGATGAGTAATGCATAACGGATAGATAGTCATAAGGAATCCCCAATGAGTCTATCTTAGATACGTTGTACTTCCTGAAGTTGTGCTTCTTGTCTGAGATAAAGCAAAATTTCACCACAGTGAGTAATGGTGAAATATTTTCTTTCAGGCTGGAAGGAGGTGGAAAAGCATGCAGAGAATTAGGAAGAAGAGAATGGAAGGGAGAAAGGTGAACGAAGAGGGCATTTACAAGGCGTAGGAAGTGCTTACATAAAAGTTTAGGCGAGGGAGGGGTGCGAAATGAGTAGGACGAGATGGAAAGGTAGGCGAAGAGGGAGAAAGACGAAAAAGAGAAGGCAGGAGGAAAGGGGAAGGGACACAGGAAAGTGATAGGACACGAAAATAATTGGGGAGGAGGAGAGTGAGGACAGGGGGCGGGGCGAGGACCAGGAAGAAGTGAAGGAGGAGGGAACAGGAGAACAGGAAAGATGCATTGCAGTTGACTTCTTAAAAATTAAGATGCTTGTAGTCATAAAAAAGTACTGGAAACTGAAAATAATTGATTTGATGTGATCGACCCTACCCTCTGGTATATTTTTCCAAACAATTTCCACGTGGTCATCTCTGTCAGGACGACTCTGCTCGTGCCAGAATCCCAGAGCGTGTCCTACACACACGCAAAAAAAAATTCAAAAACAATGCAGCTTGGCATGTAACCTTTTTTTTATCCATGATAGATGTCACTCACCCATTTCATGAACAACTGTTCCTTGATACCAGCAACCGCTGGCCAGTGAAATCTGCTGCTTTCCACCTTGACGTCCAACATATGACCAACATCTTCGCAAAACAAAAACAAGTGCAATGACGAAAAAAAAAAAAAGAACCTTAGAATCCTTTTAACAAGATTAATTTTGAATTACAATCAATATGTAGCATTACACATCCCAGATGTCTATCAAAATTTTTCCTTTTGATCCCAAGGATCGCCTTCTCTATTCCCTCGTATAATTATTCAGAGGTGCTTCGTGTACATCCTTTGAAAACAAAAACAGACGAATTCATTGGAAAAAACTCACCCGCCTCCTTTGAAAAACTCAATATAGTCCTTTTCGGTTGTTCTTCTCAAAAACTTCAAGCACGAGCTTTGTTCCCACTCCCGCATTGCGCTAAGAATGACATTTATAGCGATAGGATTCTCTTCTGAAAATGTGTAATCGGTTATAACAAGAAAATTAGTTAAAAAATGTGAGTAGAAAATAAATGAAAATGAAACTCATTTTAATAGTCTTTACATTGTTGTATCATACTCGCGCCAAATAATGATTTCACCATGAGTAACGTGAACGACTCATCAAAATAGACAAGAAAATGGAACAAAGAGAGGTCAGCTAAAAATGAAACATAAACTGTGATTGGCTAGTGTATATACACACCTAGTTCCAGTGTTATGTTGTATGGAACTATAAGCGTATCCCACAGACGGTTCCGTTCATTGGTTATCCCTCTGGTGTCCCTTATAGAGACAGTTGGATCACCAAAAAGTTCAAGAGCAACGTGTTGCTCAGGCGACAGCTTGATGTCGCCTTCATGAAGAGACTCGTCTGTATTGCCTTAAAAAAAGGAAAACAATTAAATGCAATACACAATAAGGGCAACTGGTTTTCGTGTTTGCCTTCTTCTCATCTGCAAGGGAGTTTATCTGCTTATAAAGATAGACTGCGAAATAACCCGCATACCCTCTACAACTTATTCTCGTTTCTGTAGTATGAAGATACAGAGGTATTCTCAAGTAAAGCAATGACCATTACTGGCGAACTGCAATTTATTTCATCAAAAATTATGACAGCAATTAATATTTCACCCATTGTGGATGGATTTTTTCAGGCATGTCTAAAGAATCACTTTTACCCTCTGACAATTGGTTTGTTTTTTTTATATCTCCTCTACGGAGGGGTAGAAATTCTGACTCAAGAGGAAAAAATTCAGCGACCCCTGTCATTATTTTGACCTGCACCTTTCGATCGAAAGTCAATAGCGCTAACTTTTGGATGACCGGTCTGTAAGAGACCACTTACCTTCCTCTGGAAATGGAAAAGTGGCTGTAATTGTGGAAAAAGCAGTTAAAACAAGAAGAGCAATTTGGGCCATTTTGCTGTTTCAAATTGTGTAAAAATGGTTGTGATGCATCTGGCTTTTGAGTGAGGCCTGCTCAAATATATAAATATTTCATTTGTACATCAACCTTTGGAGCCGAATAATGCTATTGACATTCTTTTTCTTTGGAAAACACAATATACACAGCGCAGAACAATGAGAACAGTTTTTCATAGATTTCAATTATTGATTTGAATATGTAAAGATATGTATTGTGACTATATAGGTGGGTAATGGGTGTAGTTGCCCGAGTGATAGGAAAAAGGATGTGAAAGTGTATATTTTAGAACCAGTCTTAATTTATCCCCGGAGTGCGGGTGGCGGAGGATCACATGGGGATCACAGGCTAAGGTCAAAGAGGTCCTCAGTCGCCAACATCAGAGTAAAAAAAGGACCTGCAATTGACCAGAGGATCATGATAATACTACAGAACTTTATTGGGGGATCAACTTAATTTTATCGTAAACAGAACCAAACGCCTCTGATTCCTCGCCCCTTCCCCTGGGCGACTCCTCTCCCTTACCCCGAGCGACAAATAATAACCGATCCCTAGGCAGTATGAAGAACGTGTTTTTTATTTTATTAGTTTGTTTTTAATCATTATAATTTTTAGTGAATCTCACAAAAAACGGTGTGAAACCATTTACTCCTTTTGACACCAATTCGGCGTAAACTATTTTTTTCGATATATCAAATTATGACATTTGACAAATATTCTAATTTGCTCAGATGGTCAGGTGTGAGATGGACACCCACTGTAAACCTTGGTAAAGATTCCTTGTTTTCCATGCCCCTTATTTTCAAATACCAGTAGAGAAGTAGTATCACTTTTTTCCTCCTGGTAATTATCAGAAACGTTTAATTGAGTATCTGTCTTCTATTTCCTGTGACGTTTAATGCCTCGGGCTCTAAAGCTGGGGAAGGCTCAGATACCGAAATTTTAGACTTGGCTCTTGAGTGACTAGCGCATTTCTCATCATTCGGTCCGGTTGGGTATCTGTCAGACCAGTATAAATAATGTGTCCATACGTTCATATTTGTGTAGACGCTCCTCTGTGAAAAAAAGAAAAACACTTTAATAAGTATATTAACTACAAATAGGAGAGAGGTATAAATCGGGGAAACAAGTAAAGAAGGACGAGAATTTGGATGCTCACGTAAGATATGTGTCCATCAAGAATAAAACATGTGCAAAAAATATAGCTTCTACATAATCTATTTGCTAAAACTACTAAAAGTCCATGACTTAACCCTTCTATTATAAGTTCTCTCCATGATAAAAAATGAATTTAGTGCCTTGCCATAAAGGTCATTCTTATTACAGAGTGATTTTTCCTTTTACGAACAAAATATTGAAATACATGTGCGGGTAGTCATTTCAATAGGCTGAGAATGAGTGTTCTGGCTTCTGTGTTCGGTCATGTGCGATTACACCTACATAAAGACTTCAGTCATGTCCGTAGCTGTCATATTACCCTCTACAATACTAGTATAGGCTGGGTTTTATCGTGAAGTATAGATATATGCTATTCGCCAGCCTGGAGGTCCGTATCGGGCGGTACTCAAGACGGTGAGCACTGTTTTCCCAATACGGACCGAGCTAGGCTGGTGAATAACCTTTTTTTTTTAACAAACTTAACGAAATTCTTCCCAAAAGAACCCGAATGATTTAGGGGTTGTAATTACAGCAAGATCTTCCATAAACTGAACAATTTTTGAGCGAGTAAATGGTAGTTAAAATAGAGGTAATGCAAATTAAAGAGAGAAGCTTCACCGAAACATTTTCATTTGCGTAATGATAAAGGTTATTTAAAAGGTTTCCAACAAAGTTTAAAAAATGTTACTAGTATCTGTCACAATCTGACAACTGTCAGTTAGAGAGCGCGTAAGAAAGAAAACGCATGAACACTTTTGGAAAAACAACGGAACTAGTTTGGCATGGCCTGTCACGATAATGTTTTCTTCAAAAGCAGTCAACCATCTTGCGGAAAGTATTACTCACTTTCATGTACGAAGATTTACCTCTGTTCAGTGAGTAAATGGTAAGGAAAGTTATTGTAAGTAAATTCAAATTTTTGATTTTGAAGTTGTGAGAGTTTGCTCGTTTGTTTACTGCAATGGCGTGTGTAAATCTGATCTTTTCTCCACTGAAACTAATTTCGAATGAGACACTTCAACTAGACACAACGGGATTTCATGCGGCTTTTTCTCATTGAATTCCTTCAGTTTCTGTTGTGCAATTTACGGAACAAATGTCTAAATTGAACGGACTTGGAAAGACTCACCGAAAGTGTCTTTGTAGAGCTTAAAAATTCGATCGCCCTTTCACTACGAACAAGTTGTTTGAGAGAATTCAGATATTAAATGAATGTGATTTCCATATATTAATTCAATTGTAACCAAATACCTCACGTTTTAACTTTCCAGGTACTTTTTGTTTAGGATTAAAATTAATTACAAACAGGTCTTAGGCCACTCGTCAACCGATTTGCCCGTGGGTAGAGATAAGAAAATACGGACCGCACTAAGAGCCAATCAGATTGAAGGATTCGTTGCCGTGCCCTCTGAGAAACAAAATAATCAGTTATATTCGGAAAGTTCGACCCTTTGGATGACTATTTCATCTCACGACTTCTGTTTTAGTGGTTTGTCTATCAAACTTAAGTCGTAAATAAATGTTCTCAACTTTTTCAAAAACTGTTCGGTACTTTTTGCAATAGACGGTAAGCACAAGATTAGCACTGAAATATTGGTAAGGTATCCTCCCAGCACAATATCAATGATAAATAAACTCACGTCAAAGTCTTTGCAATTCTTATTTGTTAACTGTGAACTGTCTGGTCGACAATCCACGTCTTCATCTACAGGTATAGTCAGCTCGTAAGATCCAAATGGACTCTGACACTCTTCTGCTCCAAGCAGCACGTCCTGACAGGCGGAATCACTAAGGTAGTGGCAGCACATTGCTTGAAAGCGAACATCGTCTTTCTCCAGGCAGTATAGAGAATCCTCTAAAAAGCACACCGATACAGTAAAGGCTTACTAAGTAATTTAGTGGCCTATTTTTAAAGAATACTTTCTTACGTCCAATCGATAAGAAACGAGATTTTTAGAGTATCACTGCCCGGCACTGGAAATAAGCAAGAGTTGCTCGAGGCGGCGTCTCGAGCAACTGGTACGCTCCTCTGGTGCTCTCCAAACTTTCCGTATGCGTCCATAACTCGATATACACACGCTAAGCATGGAACAATTCTTTGATAGTCAATCAATGTATGAATGCTTACTGTTGCCATTCTTTTTCTCTGCTTGGCACTTGGCAGTATCTGTAATTGCAAAACGGTCAAATTCAAACTTTCTCCAAACGTCCATGTTTTGTTGTCGGAATTCTCTCACTTCTCCATTTCCATCTCGAAAAAACGAGGCACTCATATGTCGCAGTCTTAGATAAACAGTTGCTGGAAAGTTGTTTTCCCTTTGAGTTTCATCTCCATAGAGTTCAACATACATCTATTGAAAATAAAGATAAAGCTGTTGACTGATCAATCATCGTTCCAAAACCACGCAGAGAGATCAAATGCGTCACTACCAAGCCACGGTGGAAATGAGAGCAATTCGTGTTTCTCACTGATAGGAATAGAAAGGCGCTAACAAATGAAATCACTAATAGGTCACGCACGCAGCAGTTAAGAGGATACAAACGCATAACTTTGCTTTCATGATTTTGATAGTAGCTGTCATGATAACAGCATGATAGTGATGAAGATATCATGTCAATGCGATGTGATATGGCGTTGCTTGATGGCTAGAACTAAAAGGAAAACCAAAACAACGTGCCTTCTACTATTTACGGTAAAACGTGTGAAAATTTCAAATTACAACTTAGAGTGTACAAAACCTAATATTAGCAAGCTTTGAGCTGAGTAAACTATTCATTAAAAGACGCAGCGCGGTAGAAATAGAATGGGCTGTAATATCGAGTACTAGAAAGAAAACAAACAAACACAAAAACAAAACAAAACAATGAAAATCAAGCAAGGTAGCATGATGACCATGAGGGTTGAAATTAAAATGAGGAGTGTCCAATTGAAAAAAGTAAATAAACAAATAAGAAAATAGCATGATAATACCCGATGGTTTAAAAACGTTAAAGAGCGTGCAGAACAACAAGGCTAAGAAAATAAAGACCAAAACTAGCAAACCAAAGCAAATATGTGTTATGTTAGTTGCCATAGTCGTCTTTTAAGTGTCATAGCCATACGGCATCGATGTATGGCTCTTAGCAGTAGAGGACATTTTTCCTACCTTTAAAAGACGAACATTGTAGCATGACTTGCAATTGTCAGAAACCTTAATGGTGAACTTCGCTTTGCCTCTGTGCAAATCATCAAAAAGCTAGTGCATAAGAGGTGGAGAAATAAGGAAAACAACGTTGTTATAACAAGTCATTCTCAAACTCACAAAAATTGATAACAAGGGGACAACAGAAGACCTAACAACAAGAAGACCTAACAACAACAAGACCTAAAACAAGAAGACTTAACATTTGCGGTATTCTTAATCTCAAAGAACTGTCAAGTGTTGAACTGACAACCCGCTCTCAGAAAACAATGTTTAAGTGGCTCTTCATGCTTAAAAATTAATTAACTTCGAGAAGTGTACAAGAGAGCATTAATCATAATGAAAATATCTCTCTGAAAATTGTAATACGAGTTGTTTAACAGGTTTGAGATTTTAATCTATAAAAAAACTACAACGATATACTGTCCTCAGATACTTGACTATTATCCTCTAAAAACTTCCATAAATAACATGCAATAGGAAGTATAAGTAATTTAGTCACCGTAAAGAATTTAGAGGGTGACGTTTCGAGCGTAAGCCCTTCTTCAGAGCGATATTTTACTATTTTCATTGGAAATATAGCCAATCATGGTGCAGGAAAACCTAAACCCTAAACCCAATCTTCCCACTGTGCGCTGCGACTTTTTTTCCGCAA